CTGAAACTGCTTTAGCCTCAAAAGATACATGAAAAGTCCTGTCACAAATTCTTACCACCTAACGTAAGGGCATTTACCTTAACTCTCAAACTAGAATATTCCTTCATTGCTGAAGTAGTCTCTTCAGGGCCTCAGTTCCCTGAATCACTCTGTGGAAACACAAGCCCCTAGAAAACGTAGTCTTAATTAAGGCACCCTAATCAAACATGATGTGAATGAAATGTTGTGAACTCGCTGACTCTGAATTTAAAACAATTACTAAAGAAATGTGTATAGTAGTTGAATCAGAGAGCAGGGAGATGGACTTCGCATTTTTATTTTCACATCTGGGTCCTATGTGACCAACAGATATTATGGGCATGGAATAGATATGTAGCCCTTTGTGGGGGATGGCTGCCAGCGTGGGAGAAAGAAGCAGATAATGCTATGAAAACATGTAAAAGTAGGTTGATATGAACCCTTGACTGACAGGGAAGAAACTTCCACCATGAATGTCACACTCTTCCCAGTGGAGACCCCGGGATGCTGATGACTTGCTGCAAGTCTTGCCCTCTTTCCTTGAGGCAGATTGGTGTATTGCCTTTGGAAACAAAGGGAGCACTGGAAACCTGAGCATAATACCAAAGTAAAAAATAGATAGCAGGAAGGCATTTTTGTATAATATTTTTAGGGGTATTATTAATAAGGCTTTGGGTATTAATTTGGGCTATGAGTGTTAGTATTAGACAAATTGAACTATTAGGCTGTTAAAACACTAATTGTATAAACAATAAATTCTTCTCTCCATATATATATAGTGAAGTGTTTTTGCAATTATGACCTTTTTCAAAGTACTCTGGCTGTAATTCACTGATTAAGTGAACAGACCATTTTAAACTAAAGCACCTGGATGATGGAAGCTCTAGCAAAGTGGCTCCAAGCAAAACCACCTCATTCTTATAGTATCTCCTGTCCCACAAGTGAGGAGGGAACTCATTATGGCCTGTAAAGAGGCTAATTGGACCATTGGGGAAGGCAGGAAATGTAGGTCTCCCTTACAGGAATATGTGAAAAAACCCAATAATGTCAAGTGCTCTACTGAGGGTTTGTTTTTAATCACTTCTCTTACCTCCCATCTTCCCACCTAAGGAGTAAAAAGCCCCCCAGATGAAGTACTGCTCTCAATCCACCAAACACTGTCTAGCGTAAGCACACTAAACATTACCATTACAGAAGTAGTTAAGATATTGCTATTTCCTGTAGGTTGTGAATGAGTCACATTAATTTTCTGTCCATCCTCAGAACAGGGCCACAACATACATCAGAACTTTGGTTTCTGAGATATTCTCTTTGTTAGGGCATGTATAAAAGGTGCATTTTCTGGTGGATTCTGGGGCCTGAGGAGCCTCCCTCCCAGCTGCTGGAGCCCAGCCTGGTGCACTCGGAGACCTGGGAGTCCCTCTGCACTAGGCCAACAGATGCAGTTTTCCCATTTGCAGGCTCAACCAGTAGCAAAGATGAACGTTTATGCCAGAGACGCACACGTGCACAGGACACTAACGCAGCCAGCAACATAGCCTGCCCACAGACAGGGCACTGCCTTTAACAACACCCACATATTACACCACCACAACTCACATAAAACATATATACAAACAGCCAAATCCCAGTCCTCCTCTCTGACTGGTCAGGATTGAAGCTTGCTAGTGAAAACACAGAGCCCCTGACTCTCTATTTCAAAAGGACAGACACATTCATGGACCCTTTGAATACTAGCATCAGACCTCAGCTCACCTAATATTGATGCCCAGATGGCCCTCCTACTCATCAGACAGTGCAGCTTAAAGTCTGCTAATGAATTACACATGCACACATACGCATGTGCACAACGCACGTGTGCACACATGCACACACACCAGGTTACGGGAAAATATAAACATTCTAGTCTTCCCAGTGGCTTGAGTCCAGGCACATAGGACTTATCACTCTTGGTCCCCTCTATGCTTGCTGATACTGGGACTCTCACCTGCTCCGGCTGGCACCAGACACAGGAGCCACCATCATCCAAGGTCTGATGCCATTGCTGGCACTGAATTCAGTTACTGCAGACACACGCTCCAATGGTCTGTGGTGCCCCTTCTGCTACTGATGCTGAGACACTTCAGCACTCTTCAGCCATTCACTTCAGCTGCTGGCACCACAGATACTAGGACCACTGTCACCAAGTGGTCTAACTCCAGTTGCAGACCCCAAATTCAGTCACTTTAGTCTCTCCAGTTGCTGGCATGTGAACCTTACAGCACTTACAGATGGGGAGAGAGCGAGATTACATGGAAAGAGAGTTAAGAAAGGATTTAATAAGAAGAATGGATAGAGTACAGTGATTCGGTGCAGGGCTTAGTCAGGCAAGTGTACTGACCAGTGGCTGCTCACACACTACCAGCCTATTCTATACCTCCTTTCTCTCTATACCCACCCTGTCCTTGTTTTGCCCAGATCCCCTTCCTCTGAACATTCCTTAGTAAGTTTAAGGATGCAAATTCTGGTATGAATGGGAGTATTCAGTCATAAGAATAATGCCATGCCTAATGTTTGCTGTTTGTTATTAAGTTATGTTTAAAATGTTCTTTTAGGAAAGAAAACAGTTTTGAGACCCCAGTGAATGAACTAAACAATTAATAAAAAAAACCCCAAACTATACCTGACATGAACATACACGTTGCTAGTCCAATAGATCCATTCTATCATTGTGAACACAACAACTTGGACAAAGCAACCTTACTCATTTTTAATAAATACTTGTAAATAATAATTGAAATTATAAATATAAAATAATTTTATTTACTTCTAATCAATTTACAGTAACAAGAATATTTCATACTTTCATTCAGATCCTGTGAAATAGTTATTGCCAGTGTCTTACCTCATTTTGGAAAAAAAAATATGTCATAGTTTATCAGATTTTAAACATTATTTGCACATTGGCAAATCACATCTTGGCATTACGTTTGTGTTTTCTGTGCACAAGTTCAATATTTTAAAACAGAGGAATTTTTTGAATTTGCCAACTTCACACACTTAGAATAGCATTTGAGATACAAGATTCATAATTACAGAACTCATCTTGTCTGAGAACACGAAACAGCCATGTTAGAATAACAATAGAAAAATGTCTGGTTTTATAGGAAAAAGCCTGGCTTCATATGCTTTGGGTTTTTTTAAGTGACTATTCTTGCCTTAGTGCTAGCAAACACTTTTACACAGGAACACAGGAAGAAATGTAGACTTAAATCAACCACATTTAGTCAGAATATAACTGCAAAATTATACTGTATGTTAGTCATTCAGTCCTGTTGCAAGGTATGCTGATGTACTACATACTTTCCTGTTACAGCAGGACCTGAGGCATTTTATATCAGAGCAGGCAAAAAGAGGTAAATTCCTGAAAGTCTGCCTTCTCTTCCTCTGATACTTATTATGCTTTGGAATAAGAAAGAATTTTCCATTTTCTTCTAGTTATCGGGAGAGTAAAAAGGGAGCTAATTCACACTCATAGCCTCCTTTTCTCCTTTGCAATCCTTATCAGGTACCTGGAGAGTAGGTTGCAATGATTTCTGCCATCCACAAGAGTTGAGTGTATTGAACTGTTTTCATGTCATTATGGTTTGGGTTTACCGTATCTAGAATGGTGTTCCTCCTGTCTCCTCCCGTCCTCTCCTTCATTAGGTCAAAATTGCAAGGATACAAAGGATTTTTGTGGGGACAATTTCAAAAGCAATGTGCCTGCACAATTTTGGTGAAAGGGACAAGAATAAGTGTTCTAAAAAGATATAGAACATGCATGGGGGAAAAGCTAGTTCTAAAAAACTTTACTAATGGACTTTCCTCCTTTGAAAAAAAAGAGGGTTTTTCAGTTTTCTCAGAATGATGCTGACCATGATGCCCTCTACAGTGAAGGAAAGGGAGGAAAAGTAGAATAATATAAAATGGATTTACTAGGAATTTAGGATTAAGTATATCTATCCCATTTTAAAAAACAGAGTTTTACACAGACTTAACTAAAATGCCAACAAGAATGTTCAGTCTTTCACTATGAAAATAAAGATTGGCTCTTGGATCCTTCTTACTCCGTTAGGCTTTTCTTTTTCTTCGTCTTCTTTTTTTTTTTTTCTTTTAACTCTGCATCTCAATGTAATGATTTGTTTATATTCTATGATTGTCAGGGAAAACTGATGCTTCCAAGAATGAGACATTTTAAAAAGTTTTATTGTCGTTGGATGTTCAAGTGCTAGCTTTATGCTGAGCTCATTCTTAAAGAATGTTCTTTTGAGTATTGCTACTTCTCTTCTACCAACACAGTAAATCTCTGCTGTGAAGTATGAAAATGAATAGTGTTTTAGGTTTGGCTGCTATCCTGACCCCCAAGAAAAAGTGTTTACAGTAGGATGGCTTTAGATACATTTTCTGATTCAAGCTTTTCTCATGAAAGCATCTTATTTGTCCAATATATCACAAGTAAACCGATTAGCTTCTGAGAGTTGGGGTTTTTTTTAATCAAGACACACCACTAAATCATGAGATTATTGACTCTTTACATTATTTCCATCTTATTTTTCTAGCACATCTATTAAGAGAATGCTGAAATTATGAATACAGGTGTCATGATCATTCTAAATCACCCAGCAAGAGCTTCTGATCCTATTCTTGTGAACTCTGTATGTGAGAACCAGTTAGTGATTATGAGTCTTCCTTTGTCATACTGCCAACAGGAGGAAGGTACTCATGGATGGGATCCAGTTATGAAAGGCCTCTATAATTTATAAGGTTTTACTTTAGTACACGAGTATTTTAGAGTAGTCACATGGAAATTTTTTTATATTACAAGACCTATTTTAAAAAAATCTGTGGAAATTACAAACTGTGCAACAATCACCTTATTTTAGGTTTCTGTAAAGCAAAAGTTCACACCATTATAACACAGGAAGTGTTATTACAAGACAGGAAACAAAGGTGTTTCTTACCTGTATAGCCCTTGTCACATTCACAAAGAAAAGTGTTTGGAGTAACATTACTGCAGTTACCATTGAAACACGTATGTGGCTGGCACTGTCCAACTATTTCCGTGCAATTTTTACCTATTTAAAGGGGATAATAGGAACATTGAACTTTAGTGAATATTTTTTTCCTGAAATGTCAAATTAGTATGTAAAATAAAACATTATATTTAATAAATAGGTGGATGGATAGATACATATTTGTGTTAATGTTGGTTGCTAGTTTTCACCAAAATTAATGAAATTCTAAAGCAAGACAGAAAAATGTTCAGCTGCTGTAATATGAGCTATTGTGCTCAACCTCATCTGCGATATAGTTACAAATTCACATACAGCTTCAAATGCAGAAATGCTATTAGTACTCTAGTATTTGTTTCTTTGTGACACGAATCTAGCTTACGGTTTCTTCCAGCACTGTGAACAAAAGATGTTCTCATGTGGAGTACAATTTAACTGAATTTTTCTTAATATGCAGCTTTCTGGAAATTACAATTCCAATTATAAGTTGTTTATGCTATTACAGCATATGGGTCTAAATACTGTATAATTATGCTTGCCACTTGATTTGTTGCTATGACATTATTCACACTTCAGCAACTTTTCAAATTTCTAATAGACTTTATATTATGGGAGACACTTTTTTCCTCCCTTATTCTTGTGTAGCCATGTCCATAATATGTGATGGTATAATCTCCTAGTTCTTCTTGTTTACATACAGCTTATTTACTGAACCAATATTGCCAGTACAAAATTATGGCATTAGCCAACACTGTCTCATATAGGCTAAGAGAATATTTTAAGGATTTCTTGTTGAAAACATTAAGCATGATGATTGCTTTTAACAGAATTGCTTGTGACTCTTTCCATTAATTTGAATTAAAGTAATACCAGGCACTTTTTGATACTATTATTATTTTCAACACATTTTACACAGCCCCCAGAATTCACAAAACAAACAGAAAACATACTGAACACCATCAATGTTTTCCACTATTTTACTAAACTTTGAATAATTATAAAAATGTTTTTCTCATCACATTGACTTATTCATACCTGCATAATCTTCTGTTTGCAAATGCATTAGTATTGAAATTATTATGCAGTTTTAAAAGCAATTAAAAATAAATTACAGCAAACTTTCTGCAACATAACCTTCATTTCTATGTTCTATGAACCTCACTGTTTCTCGACTCATCAGCTGTGTTTCACAGCATAACATGGCTATTGTGAGAGCAGAGAGGTGAGGTCCATCAAAGGAACATTGCTAGAATTCTGCTCCAGAAGTACAGAAAGTGCTACAACAATCCTTTTTGTGATGTGAATTAATATTTCTGGTACTTTCCAAAGGATTCCCAAACAGCATTAGTTTGAATGCAGGAACAATATAACCATAATTTCCTTCATCCCCTTTTCTTCCTCCATGAAATGGAGACAATGGTTAGGTAAGAATGTATCTAATCATGCTGTATTCTCCAGTACTCCAATCCCAAACCCAGATTCAGTATCTCAAATAAGTTTTGGGTAAGTAAGTACTGGAATATTTCCTAGATAGAATTAAGGGATTTTTTTTCATTTGTGAAATATTTAATTTGATGACAACAGTATGTTTAGCAAACTCCTTTTGAAAGGAACTTTGCAGTGCAAAACAATCTGTGTAATATTTATTCCTAGAGGGGAAAAGAAATACCTGAAAATTGTGGAGGACACGTGCATTCGTAAGAATCTCCAGAAAGTTCTGATTTCTCGGTGCAGGAGGCATTGTTGTGGCAAGGTTTAGTGGAGCACATATCAAACTTCTGGCAGAATCTTCCAGAATACTGTGAGAAACAATGGCAATTATATTCTTTTTCCCAAATATGGCTTAGACATTTTCCATGCCCAGAGCATAATGGTGCATTTGGAGACTGTTGGCAAAACTGCTGCTTCACGGTTACGTTCAGACGAAGGCCCATGTTGCACAATAGCGGGCCTCTCTTATAAAGCTCTGCAAAGTAATGAGTTCCAACACCAAGCCAGTTAGGGTCAACTTGGTGAAGTCCTCGTATCTGGCAAACAAAAATCAACTGCTCTTGAAGAAAACCAGCTTTAGGGCAGTTAATAAATTCTTCCTTGGAGACATTTACCAAATTCATTCCATAAGACTGAAAGGATGGCTCAGAGGAGATGAAGAGATTGTCACCTAACTGAAGCTGTAAGGGGCATATCTGAGGGATACTGAGATTTTGGTCTGAGATTTCCCCAGTAATACTTTTATTCATATTCCAGCATTCGGTGTAGAAGTCCGAGCAGATATTTTCCCTTGGTGTCCATTTTATTATACTGGGTTTTGGTTCCACTCGCCATTCAGCAGTCATTTGCCTCTCACATATTACCTGCCCATTTACAACGCATAATTGAAGAAAGCACACTAACATGCGAACTGCTGATTTTGCAGTCATTGTTTCACTTGGCAAATAGGTGTTGTCTGTCACAACTGCTTCATTACTGAGGATAGCTTCAGAACACTTGTTCCCTAAGATTCGTCTGTATTTTCCATGGCAGTCTAGGAATTCAAACAGAGAAAAATATTTCTATTTTCACACTAAATATAGTTGAATATCAAAGCCTCATTACAAAAATAGAAAATATGCAACAAAGCAAGGTCTACATCTAATTACACTGATGTCAATCTGGAATAAGCCCAATTAACTGATCAGAACCACACCACTGTAACTAGTCAGACCTTTCCTATTTCTATTCCTACTAAAGATTTTATTTTCATTTAGCTAGTCATTTTACTTGTGTATGGAAGAGAAAGAGAAACACTTTCCATTTCTGTCCCTCTCTTGACAAAAAGTAGTGATAACCAAGTTAAGATAGGACATCTGTGGTAAAACTTAGAAGTAAACCAGAACATCTAAACACTAGTCATGAGTTTTAACTATAGATGCTTTCTTGATCATTTATCATTAATTTATGATAAAAAGTAGATGTACTGAAGATGTAGGCATGTGAATTATAGTTTCAATGAAGAAAACATACAAACACATATTCAATGCTTTTATGCTCACACACACTCAGCAAAACAATTAAATCCTTAGTTTTCAAAGTATATATCTATAAACCAAAGGTCCTTAATTATATGTTTGAAGTTTTTGATGTATCACAGTCAAAGCAGAAAAGCGCTTTTTTTTTTTTTTTTTTTTGGTGGCCTTTCAAAATATCTGGCAATTTTTATTCCATGGAAAAGAGTGATTACAGAAAAGAAAGAAAACCATAATAAGATTATCAAGCTTATTCTTGGAGTCATGCTGAAAATGATGAAAATACAATCTGATGTTTAATACCTTAGAAATTGTCAATAGATTTGAGTCAGCAACAGTTTAATTAGTCTTAAATATAAGGGTTTCTTTCTTCCTTTTAGTTCTGTAATGCTCTTTTTCTCAGTATATTTATCTTACACTTTAAGTTACTGTCCTCTCAACTGGTATTTACAAATGAGAAAATTACTGTAAAGAATAAACTGTATCTTACACGAGAAGCCATTTAATAATTTGTAAATTGTTTACATTGTTTTCATTTTTACACAACATATGGAATGACATGTGGATGTATATATTTCTACACCTACATACACCTGGTCTATCTCTAAAATGCACATGGATTATGATACCACTTTAATTATATCATTTCATGAAATGTCCTCATCTTCCCCCGTGTACTTCAAAAGTATTTTTTAGCATACTTTGAACTATGTTGAAAGATTGAAGTAGCACAGGAAATAAAGATGCTGTTTCTGGAAACCTTGACCTAGAGAATATTAAATGACTCAGTGAGCTGTTAAAAATTATAGGATAATATCAAAGGGTGATATTCATTCAGTCTCTCCTATTGTCATCTAAATTGGGGTGAGAATATCTAAAACCTAGCTGTCTTGTTCATAAATTGCTGTGCATGTGAACTTTTCCCAAAGACCTTTGTGCAGCAGAGTGACCAGCACTGTTTAAGCCTTTGAAGATACCAGAAAAGGTGTGAACTATGACTAACTGGTAGTAATAATATCAGACTTGAGGCTTAGAATAGTAAACTCACCAGGGGTAGAAACTAGGTTTTGCTCCCCCTCCCAGAATAGTCTTTGGTTTAATTTAATTACTGAATCTCAATTCTACATTCAAACAGTTGAAGTTCTCTAACCACCTATCTCCACAGCCAGGCAAGTATGCTAAATTCTAATTTCTCTCTGTCTCTGTACTTCCACCCCTGGGAGGTAATTCCCTGTAGAAGAAAAGAAAGGACATGGATCTGCAACAAAACTACTAGCCTTTTTATAGAATACTTATAGTCTTTCTATTTTGAGACCATTCCATTATCTTCAGAATTTCATGATGTTCAATGATACCATTAGATAATGTGCTATCAAATGTGTAGTTTGGATCATTTAGCATTTTTTTCTTTTAAGGTAACAGTGTTGACCTTTTATATTCATTATAGCTGCTATTACATCTGTCACTATTATCAGGTGTAAAAGTCGATGGTCTATATTACTGTATATTTAGAAATCCTACATTCAGCAACCCATCTTTATATACGTTTTTCATAATGTGATTTTCTCAAGGGTTACTAAAATAGATGTTTATAAAAGGTTATTTTTCTTTCAGACACTTCAAAAAGCAAACTATTGTATGTCTAATGTAGAAGAATTCTTGCCCACTTATAATGTATTTTGCCCTTCATTCCTGTAATTATGCACAGTTCTCGTATCATATACAGGCTTCATTTTTACTGATAAATAAAATGTGCTTCCTCACAATATTTGTATGGAAGAAAGCTTGTGAACTATTTTAAAAGAAGTAATATCAGTAGTATAACAGTTTATACTCTGTCTTCACTAAAATCATTATTAGTCTTCATGCAACTGAAATAATATTATGGGAATACTAGAATTACTAATGTTAAGTAAACAAATACATTCTGTAAAAGCAGTGTTAAAAAGAGGGGAAGATGGAAAACAAATATCAAGAGAGAACAAAGATTGTTATTTTAGCAATAAAATCAAGACAAAAAAACCCTTTATATATTGAAGAGTATAAAAAGTAAAGATCTATGCATGAAAAGTTAAAATATTAACATAAATGACTTACTTAGAAAATCAACCAAGAAATTAAATATTTGCAAGATGTTGATGCTATGTCATGAGGCAGAATGGTGTCGTGAGATGAAATTTGAAAGTGATTATGATAACTGTTATATTTTAGGTCTGCTTTAGGCAAGGAGAAAATCTTCCTATCTATAATCCCAGATGATTCCATGCAATTGATGAAGACTAAGAAAAGTCCAAAACTGGTACTTGTATGGACACACAGTAAGATACTTGAAGAAAATCTAACTCTTAAAGTCATAAAAGGTTGAGTGAAAAGCAGCACAATCCTCTATTTTGTACTAAAGGAGAACTGAAGCAGAAAGGTTTATGCAGGACCCCAGTGAAGTCATTTAAAAGCAAAATGAATCCCAAGTTATTTGCATTCCAGTCCAGTATCTTAAAGATTATGTTTTCTTTCTATTAATAATAGTTATTAAATACTAATGACAAAAATACAGTACATTTTAAGTGAGAGTGGAGAAATACCCACAGAAGATATCTGACTCTAACAACCTCTCAGAAAAAAAGAATATAGCAAAGAAGGGAATAAATCAGAAAATATTTAGGTACACGTCCCGTCCCACTCAGGGGGTGAAGGTGAGGTTAACTTTTTAATTCTCTGTGCGGTAATCAGAAGTAATGACAATTACTTTAGAGGTTCAAACCAATTATAAATTTACTTAAAACTCAGTGGAACTACAAAAGATAGAGGCTTGGCAAAGGTCATAACAATGCTCAAAATTTAGAAGAACTATGAAAGGTAAGGGTTCAGTAAAATGTGTGACAATATTACCCTAACATGCTGAAAATTAAGTTAGAGACAGAGTGATAGGAAAAGAAAGAGAGAAAGAAAAGAGAGAGAGAGAGAGAAAAGATATCACCACGCTTGAGTCCAGCGATGTGCTCTGCTCGTAGTTGTAGTCTTCAGGTGGTGGGCGTGTGCCAAAATCTTATGTTTCCACTTTTTATAACCCGATGTGCCCGCCCCATAGGCGGGGGTCTGTCATCACTGAGCAGGTGCAGTTTGTGCTCAGGAATGTTCAGAAATGTTCTAGAAATGAGTCAGTGGGTTGTGGGGGTTTGGGGGCTCAGTCCCCTCCCCCCGCTTTCAGGGCTGACCAAGTGAGTGGTGATCTGTCACAGGCACATGGCACACAGGGCACAGATGGTCATTGTTTACATGTTTCAGGAATAGAGGAGTGGTGTCACAAGACATTATCCTGCCTCTGCAGGCTCCATTCTTCTTCAACACTCCCCGGTCATCATCAGCCCATCCCTGTCCATGTCAGGACGGGTGTTTGCGACATTCACTTGTTATCAGGGCCTTACAGTACATCATATCACCACGTTGGGGCCAGGAATGAACCTTCTCTTGACACCTCCCCACATGTCACACACACATTTTGTGGACTGTCTGTGCTTGAGGTCAGCTCTGGCACAGAGCTCTGGCACAGTGCCTCTTGTACATATGCCTGAGCTCCTCTGGCTTGGTGATGGTTTGGCACAGGTGGGTTTCCCCACCACTCTTTATGTCACTCCCAGAACCCTCAGGAACCATTCGTGAGGAGCACAAGGTGATTCATGGCTTGATACCACTACAACCGTGATACTCTAACACAGTCCCGTGTGCATGTTACACACTACACAGCTCACAGTTAGTTAATTCTATGTGCTCAACATGGCAACATACCAGTGTAAGGACTAGAAACCTGCCAAAAAGGCAGTACAAGAAGTCACAGAGGCAAAACAGGTACTCGAACATCTATGTCTCCTTTAAAATGCCATGGTTTCCCCTAAATAAAACAGACATTATTTTTGCCTGTCGTCTTTGTTATAGTTCTCTTTCTAAGATCATGATGAAGCCCCTACCATGACGGTGACCATGACTGTGACCTGTTGAGGTCAGAGAGACTATGAGAACATTAAACTAAACAGTAATGGGAGATTACAGCTACCATGTACATTGGGCAAGTAGCATAACACAACATAATTAAAGATTAAAGATTAATTTTTTATGTAGGATTAATTATTGATTCATGGACCAGTAGTTTAGAGAACACAAAAGGCACAGCAACCGTTGCCATGATTCTAGTTATATGTACTGTTTCAGAATAGAAGAGTGTCTCTCTAACAGTGGCCACCATGTACTTAGATTCAAAATGCTTGCAGAAGGAACAAACATAAAAAATGTCCACAGTTGTTCTCAATTCCTAAAAGAGAAACTACTGATGCAGTTAATTTGTTAAGATGAGGCTTAAAAAAGGGCAATGGTGTTAAATGCTCATAGAAAAAGCAGAGATTATCTCAGGATACTGTATTGGAGACAGAGAAAAAATATGTACAATTAATCAGGGCTTGAAAATATCTAAGAGGAAGCTGGAGTGGCTAAACTGGAGGGTGTGGGAAGGGGAGCAAGAAGCAGA